GAGAACTTTCAGTAGGATAAATTTTATTTAAAAAAATCAATCCAAGTTAAAATTATCTAGGTCAACTCTAAAAAGACCAGGAATTTCTGTCCTAATCTTTCAGTAGTGGCAGTGCAACTTGAACTGAATCTACAGTGTGAGAAAGTAAAAGGCTGAAAGTGAACAGAAAAGGTGATAAACTTTTTCCCTCAGTCATAGAGTACCTTTTCTCCTCCCCAACCCCCTACACAAAATAAAAAACAAAAGCCATTGCACAAAGAACAAATAAGGAACGGTGGCCAGTGACTACTAAAGGCATGCTTCCTCATACAAGAATCTACTTTCAGTTTTCAAAATTAGATGATTTAACTATTCCAAACTCAACACAGATGAGGCCAGCCTCTTCTACTCAACTCTTCCCAAAACTTACAGCTGAAGCAGAATGACTCAATAGCCTTATATGTAAAAAAATTTTGCACTTAGAAGAACTGGTACTGATCTGTTAATTGCCAGTAATATAAGAAACATATATGATCACTTATAGCTAGTATTTTATCTTTTACAATGCATTTTCCTCACAATAAAGCTGGTAAGTAAATGAGAATAATAATATTTGCAGTATTTTACAGATAAGGAAACTGAATTTCAAAAAAGACTTGACCAAGATCACATAACTGGAAAATATTTTCTACAGTATAAAATGTTTCATAAGTTTAACAACCAAAAAAGATTTTTAAACCTTATTTCTGAAGAAAATATTTATTCATTTAACAAAAACATAGAAACAAAAAAATCAGATACAGATGACTTTGCTGAACAGAACACTAGGTTTTTAAGCAACAAGTAGGCAAGCATTCCCTTTTTTTCTTTCTTTTTTTCTGGGTGAGTCAATCGGATTAAGTGACCTGCCCAGGTCACACGCTAGTAAGTGGCAAGTGTCTGAGGCAGCATTTGAACTCAGATCCTCTTGACTCTAAGGCCGGAACTCTATCCACCGCACCACCTAACTGCCCCTTCCTTTTTTTCTTTCTAAAGCTTGTTACATATTTGCACATATGCCTTACCCGTTAAATAAAGGATTTTACTATTTTTATGGTTGTCTAAAGAGAAAACTTAAGTTCTACCCAGTATTTATCTCAGTCTTTGATGCATTTAACAAAATACTACCTCCAAGAAGATCTTTGAAAGATGGCATACTAAAGAAGAAATCATCCACTGAAAAAATAAAATGAGGGCAGCTAGGTAGCACAGTGGATACAGCTCTAGCCTTGGAGTCAGGAGGACCTGAGTTCAAATCCTGCCTCTGACATCTGACACTTACTAGCCATGTGACCCTGGGCAAGTCACTTAACCCAACTGCCTCACCCAAAAAAAAAAAAGAAAAGAAAGAAAAGGAAAAAAAGAAAAAAGAAAATGAAGCCAAATCCTAAATTATTGGCCTAGTTAGGCTAGGAATCAGAGAGCTGCTAAATTACTTAACTTTACCCAAACAAAGTACTTTGAGAAAGTACTTTCTGTCAGTCAATTGAACAAGTATTTATTAAGCACCTTTTATATGCCAGGCACTAGAGATATAAAGACAAAAATGAAATAGTTCCTCCAGTCAAGGAGCTGACATTCTACCAGAAGGAAAGAATAAGTACATATTAAGTAAATGTGAAATATAAATAAATATGAAACTTACAAAGTAAATATAAAATAATTTTTTATTTTAAGGGGAGGAGGGGTGGAAAGTGGATATCAGGAAGGACCTCATTCAGGATATGGCACCTGAGCTGAGACTTGAGGGAGAGGTTAAAGGCTCTAAGAGACAGAGGTTAAGTAGGTGAACAACTTAGGCATGAAGACAGCTTGTGCCAAGGAGACAGAATGTCAGGTATGAGGAACATGGTATGAGGCTACTTTGGCTCTAAGGCAGAGCCCATGAGGGGAAATCATAAACTCCAATCTTTTGTGAATGCTGAGTTTGAGAAGCCTAGGGATACAGAGGTTGAAATGTTCAGCAGTTAGTTGGAGATAAGGTACTAATGCTCAAGGGAAAGATTATATAGATTTGGAAGTCATGTGATTGAAATTGAATATGTGGGAGTTAATAAGATCACAAAGAGAAAGAGTGTAGAGAAAGAAAAAAAGGAGGTCCAGTAGCAAGTCCTGGAATACACCCACACACAGTAGGCAGACTATGGATGATCATTCATCAGAGCTGATTGAGAAAGAAGGGTCAGACTTCTAGGAAGAGACAAGAAAGAACAGTGTTAGGAAGCTTCCTAGTCATAAAGTCCCAGGAATGAGAGTACTTAGGGAAAAAGAGGTGATCAAAACTGTCAAATGCTACAGAAAGGTGAAGAAGAAGAAAACTAACAAAAGTAAGATGATTTAACCTTATAGATCCCTCAACTTACCATCTCCTCCTTCCATGCATTTACCTAGGTCATTTTTCATGCCTTCCTCATCTCTACCTTTCAGAGTTTTCTTCCTTAAAGGTTCAGTTCAGGTGCTATCCATACTACCTTCCTTGTTCTTCTGGCTTAAAAGTAGTTTTCTATTCCTTCTCCGGTAATGCCAGAGTACTTTACCTGCATCTTTCTTTGCCCTCAATAACTCCTTACCTTGAACTATATTTACCTGTATTTATGCCATATCCCATTCCCCTCAGAATGTAGACTGCTTGAGGGCAGGAACAGTGTCATTTTTATCTTTTATTTCTGTGCTTTGCACAAAGCAGGTGCTTAATAAATCTTGTTGAAGTGTCAATATTTTTTAAAATTAACTCTTTTGGAAACTATATTATACAAGTCATAGCCTTCTTAAACAAAGCACATGGAAAATAATTTAATCTTTATAACTCAGGGTCATAATTTCAAAAAATTATTGTATTCTGCAATAATAAAGTGATGTCCTCAGTACCACAGAGCTATTTGACCCTATACTAAATGGCCCCATATACTATTACATGCCTTATCTCACATGTTCCAGTATAGTTTTCCTTCCAATGCTTGGTGCATGAAGTCCACCTTTCCCCCTCTAATTTGCTAGGAGCTGGGAAACCAAATAGCAATATATTAAAATTGTGCTGAATAGAATAGATACTTTTGTGGTGGTTGTTCTCAGCCATTCAGTCTGAAAGAAAACATGACTGGTAAAGGAAGTAAATCTGAGTACATGGATTTTGTCACATCATTTTGGCTGCCCAGGCCTTCTTTTTTTTTCTTCCTGGTTCTCATCTATGTTCTAAATAGAAGACGTGTTACTGTTCTTAAGGCAACCTGAAATAAAATAAACAAAAACACTAATATGCTGTAACAGTGGTTATCTACAAAAAGGGGAACGAACGTCTCACAAATGTTTATGTAAAGCTGCATGCCAGGGTCAGGGAGGCAGAAGTGGTACAATATTTTCAGGTAAGTAATAACAAAAGTCACTTTGAATCCAAAAGTACACTTATAGCAATGACAATCATATGAACCAGCAAGCGAGCACACGCCACAAAACTGCTTGAAGAGAACTACTAGGGCTGATAAATACATATGCTACAGGGTGGTAATTTATATGCCCAGTTTAATTATGTTCCCATGGTTGGAAAAGGGGCAGCTACATTTGTTTTAATATTTGCTGACTTTACATAAATAAGGATTATAAAGCATATGTAATCACATATGCTTTGACAATACTTTATGATGAAGTGCTTAATTTCGTAAGCACTGTACACTGTAGGCAAAAATTTGGCCTAGGTAGTGGCAGGCTGGAGAAAATTTAAAATAATATATTAGGCCATAAAACATAATTGCAATACTAAGACTTCCCAGAACACTATGGATAATGATATCCAGATTTAAAATTCATTAGGCATTTTCTAGTATGCACCAGAATGTTATATCATATTTTTACTCCTAGTTTGACAGTAACTGCATTACACTGTATGGGTCTCACCATAGAGGCTAAAGACCAGTTTTCAGGAAGATGAAGACTATACAGAATGATGTCTCTGTTAATACTTGCAATACCTTGTTTCTAAGAAGCTCAAAGTGCATTCATCACATGGTTCACCACTGCTCAATAACCATTATCCCTTCATCAACTTCCCCTCCCCAAACCACTAATTACATCTTGATGAGATGACAGAGGGAAAAAGTCTACTTCTCTATGGACCAACCTGTGTTTTCTTCCAACTTTCTCTATGAATCACTTTTCCCTTTCCAACTTGTCTACTTAAAGTTACAGTAACCAATGGCCTTGGCGGGAAAGGCAGAGGAGTGAGAAGAGGGAAGGGAAGATTTAAATATGCCCCCAAAACTTCATTCTGTTGGGAGAGGTTTTCTACCACCTCCCCCATCCCTGAATGTGGGAAGCTATCTCCCAATCTTCTCTCTCTTTTTGCTAGCATCAAAGCTACGGAGTCTTCTATGAAGCATTCTTGGTCTGCATCACTCTCTTAATCTGAACAAGTGTGGTTCAAGGCCACGGCTCCTAATATAGGTGTACACTACCGCCCATGAGTGTGTCCTCACACTATGTGTGTATACATACACACACACACTGAAGATGGGTGCACACTACTGCCTATGAGTGTATCCTCACACTGTGTGCACACACATACACACACCTAGATACACACTTAAGATAGGTAGACACTACTGCACGTAAGTGTATCCTTACACTACTATGTGTGTACACACATATCCCATACTCATACCCATACCCACCACACACACACCCCTTTCCTGCTTTCCTTCCCCTCTAGAGGGGCTCGCACGGCTCACACCCTCCTCCCAGGCCAGGAACGGACGAGGATGGAGAGACCCTCCCCACCTCCCCCACTTCCCTGTCCCACCGCCCCCTTCTCTTCCTCTTCCCCTCCCCCTCCCCCTCCTCCTCAGCGCCTGCGCCTCTTTCCCTTCATTTTTTCTTCACTCATTATACGCCTCTCCACCATTTTTTTTCAAGTCACGCGCAGCTTCTCCTCGCCCAGAACCTTCCCCGGCAGCTGCCCTGGCCCCGGCCCCGGGGCCCTCACAACTCACTGGGAGACTTCGGCACCCTTCTCCTTCCGATCCTCCACAACCCGGACTTGACCAAAGATAAGAACCAGGGCTGGGTCCCTCCGACGCATGCGTACTGAGAAGCCTTCCCATTTCCCCCCACCCTACACCCAGCAGGCGCCTGCGCACTTCTCCAAATACGGCTCCTCCTCCCAGAACACGCCCCTGGAGCTACAGCCAATTGGCGTACAGGAGAGGAAGGTTTAAATCTCGCCACGCAGAAAAAGAACTAGGTCCCGAGCTGGTTGACCAGTTGGTTATGGCTTGTTTTGGGAGCAATGCGGTGCTGCATGTAAAGTTCATTTACCAATGTTACTGTAGTTGTTTTCTTTTTTTTCCCAATGTTTTGTGAAACCAGATGTAGGTGCAAACAGATCTAAAAATAACACAAATTCAGGTTTGGTAACAATTCAACAAGCATTTATTTGGCCAGTCAGACATTGTACTGAGGTTACAAAGATAAAACAAAAACAACTCAGTCCCTCCCCTTAAGGAAATTGCGTTGCAACTTGTACACAGAATTGTAAAATGAGGTGGCCTTGAATTAGATGACCTCTGGGGATCCTTCTAGCTATAAATCAATGCTCCCATGAGCCCAAGTTAATACAATATGAATTATACTATATGGTAAATGATATGTTGTAATAATATATGTGATACAACATAATATATAACAAGTGATGTAATTAATATAATATAATATGCAAAGTAATTTCCACAATTTTCCACTCTGCTCTGGTAGATACTTATCACTTTACACTTGGGCTATTGCCTTCTGGTTGGTCTCCCTGAGTCAAGTCTCTCTGGCCTTACTGCTTACCAAAGCTAACCTCTCTATTTGTTTAAGTGCTCCCATTCCATCCTCTCTCCTTCAACAGACTGCACCTCTGTCATCCCCACTCTCTCATTTATTTTCAATCTCTCTCTCTCTACTGGCTCTTTGCCTCCCTCATCCTGAAAAAAAAAACCCTCACTTGGGGAGTAGTATACACACTCAGTTGGGTATAGAAATCTATCTTATCCTACAGAGAAATAGGAGGGAAGGAGATAAAACAAGGGAGGGGGAGTGCTAATAGAAGAGAGGGTGGATTGGGGGAGGCAGTGGTCAGAAGCAAAACACTTTCGAGGATGGATAAGTTGAAAGGAGAAAAAGAGAAAAGGATAAACAGGGAGAAAATAGGATGGAGGGAAATAGTAATCATAACTGTGAAAGAATTTTTATAGCAACTTTCTCTGATAAAGACTTCATTTCTCAAATATATAGAGAACTGAGTCAAATTTATAAGAATACAAATAATTCCCCAATTGATAAATGGTCAAAGGATATGAACAGGCAGTTTTCAAAAGAAGAAAGCAAAGCTATTTGTATTCACACCAAAAATGCTCCAAATCACAATTGATTAGAAAAATACAAATTAAAACAACTCTGAGGTCTTACCTCACACCTATCAAATTGGCTAATATGACAGAAAAGGAAAATGACAAATGTTGGATGGGATGTGGGAAAATTGGGACACTAAATAGTACTGTTGGTGGAGTTGTGAACTGATCCAACCATTGTGGAAAACAATTTGGAATTAGGCACAAAGGGCTATAAAACTGCATACCTTTGACCCAGCTACTTCTACTAGGTCTGTACTCCAAAGATATTAAGGAAAAAAATGCAGCATTTTTTTTTTGTTTTATTTTAAATCAACTTTCATTCTCCTCCTGGCTGTGATTCTGACTTACTGGACTGACTGCATGGCCTGACTGCAACCTCACCTTGGATCCTTCCTTAGTAACTCAGCTTCTTTGCCCCAGAACATCCCTCCACCATACCAGTCCCCTTCTTCTAATAAGGAGTTCCTCTTCCTTCCTCCATTTTGGGGAGGAGCTCAGAGCAACTAACCTTCAGTTCCCTACCAGCTATGTTCCTACTTTCTAGATTGAATATATGTGTATGCGTATGTGCGTGCACATAAGTGTGCACGTATAACATGTATATGTATATGTATTTCTTTGACTAGGTAAAAGAGGCCATTCTTTGCCTCATGTCTTACCTAGCTTTAATCACTGAATGGGCATTACCTTAGTCAAACTGTGACCTGGGAAAGACCTTAGCTTAAAAAGGCAATTTTTTGGTGACTGCACAACCCTCGCTCACTTAAATCCAATTCACTTGCAAGTCATGATATGACCTTCCTGATATGTGTCCTCTTCAAAAACAAAGGACAGAGGCAGTTTAGCTATGTGGCACAGTGGATAGAGCACCAGTCCTGGAGTCAGGAGGATCTGAGTTCAAATACGGCTTCAGACACATAACACTTACTAGCTACGTGATCCTGGGCAAATCACTTAACACCAATTGCAGGTAGACTTCAGAAAAACCTGGAAAGACTTGTATGGTCATGCTGAGTGAAGTGAGAAGAACCACGAGAACGTTGTATACAGCAACAACCACGTTGTGTGATGACTAATATTGATAGACTTAATGCTTCTCAGCAATACAAGGATCTAAGACATCTCTAAAGGCCTCATGATGGAAAATGCCATTCACATCCAAAGAAAAAATTATGGAGTTTGAATGCAGATCAAAGCATACTATTTGCTATTTTTTTTTCTTCTGTTGTGTTTTGTTTCCTCTTTCTGGTGGTTGCTTCTATTGGTTCTAATTCCTACTTACAACATCACTAATGTGAAAATATGTTTAATAGAAATGTATATGTATAGCCTATATCAGATCGCGTGCCTTCTTGGGGAGAGAGATGGGAAGGAAGGGGAACAAAAATTTAAAACTCAAAAGCTTATGGAAGTGATTGTTGATAAATCAAAATAAATTAATAAAAAAAAACTCACCGAAAACAAAGGATAAACAATGAACAAAAATCCTACCTCTTACAGGAAGCCTTCATCAAACCCCCTTAATTCTAGTGCTTCCCCTCGGTAGATTTATTTCCTATTTATTGTACATAGCTTGCTTTGTATATATTTATTTGCATGTTGTCTCCTCCATTATAATATAAGTTCCTTTAGGGTAGGCACTGTCTTTTGCTGCTTTTTTGCATCCCTCCGAATTTAGCACAGTGCCTGGCATGCAGTAAGTGCTTAATAAATGTTTATTGAATTAAATTGACTCTAATCCACCCTCCACTGAAATGTGAAAGTGACTTTCCTGATAAAGTACAAGTCTGATCATTTCAAACACAACATCCATTCAAAATAAATAAATATACTCCAGTGACTCTTTATTACCTTAAAATAAAAAATTGTATGTTTATCTTTCAAAGCCCTTAATAACATGATCCCTTTCTACCTTTATAGTGTTTTTTTGTTTGTTTGTTTTTGTTTTTTAGGCAATTGGGGTTAAGTGACTTGCTCAGGGTCACACAGTTAGTAAGTGTTAAGTGTTTGGCCTGAAGCCGGATCCACTGCTACCTAGCTGCCCCCTTTCTAGTGTTCTTACACTTTCCCTTCCATATACTATATGATCCAGCAACACTGACCACTGTTCCTCAAACAGGATGCTACACTTCTGGACTCTGTGCCTTTTCATTGGCTGACTCCCCCATCCCTGTAATACTCTCCCTCCTTATCTTCTCCCATTTTCCTTCAAATCTCAGCTCAAATTCCACCCTCTGAAGAGGCCTTTCTAGGTGTCTCCTACATACACACTTCTAGTACCTTCCCTCTGAGATTATGTTCTATTATTCTCTGTGTGTATATGTAGATGTAGATGTAGATATAGATATAATCTATATATTTTATATGTAGGTGTTTTAATGTTGTTTCCCCTATTAGATGGTCAGCTCCTTGAAGGCAGGTACCAGCATTTCTCTTTCTTTGTATCCCCAGATATTAGCACAATGCTTAATAGAAATTTGTTGACCAATTTGTCACAAGAACACGAATGAGAAAAATCTTATTATTTCAGTATTTTACAAAAATGAATACTATTGCTTTAATATTTGAGAATACACTGTGTGCTAGACACTATATTTATATATTAATATTCTATATCCTATAGGATGGTACCTACATTTTAAGTCACACATATGTGTAAATTATTTGTAGGGTTCTTTTTCTACAGGTGACCTTTTAGAAATTTTAAAACATCTTTTTTAGTTGTTTCTTTAATTTGAGAGTAGTCTGGGGGTTTAAATTTTCTTATTAGAATCAAATATATAAATATATCTGTAGACTAAGGGCAAAGTCTAGAAAGTAATAATGACTAAAAGTAGAAACTACAGTCATCCCTCAGAAAGAGAACTTATTAAACTTTAACATTAATTAATTTGACAAGCATCTTGACACCTACAAAACAAGGTCACCAATGAACCCAGAAAATCCTAGGTTCAAATCTAGCTTCTGACACATACTAGCCTTGGGTAAGTAACTCAGCCTCTAAATTTACCCCCCAGGGACTTCTCTAAGACTGTAAATTGCACAGGAATTTCCTAATTCAGCATCCATCAGGTCCAACCAGTTTTTAAATCAAAAACCCCCTCAACGACATACCTAAGAAGTGGTCATCCAGCCTTTGTTTGCATGCCTCAGTGTGAGTCAATGATAGCCCATTCACCTTTTGGTGAATTATCTAATTATTAGGAAATTTTTCCTTATTTCAAATCTAAATTTGACTCTTTGCAACTCACCCATTGCTTCTAGTTCTGCTCTGTGGCATCAAATGGAACAAATATAGTCTTTCTTCTACATAACAGCACTCTAGATATCCTTGAAGCTAACAGCTATCAGGTCACCTCTAAATGTTACCTTCTTTTGACTAATAATTCCCCAGACCTTTCAGTCAATTCTCATAATGCATACACTGGAGGCTCTTCACCATACTTATGGCCTCATATCAATTTATCCTTCCTAAAATGTGGTGCCCAAAATTAAACAAGATATTTCAGATTCGGTCTGACCAAGGCAGCACAACAGAACTATTATATCCCTAGTCTTGAATACTAATGCCTCTCAACGAAACCCCTGAGATTGTATTGGTTTTCCAAAACAAAATTTCAAAAAACACTTTTGTCACCCAAATTAGACTGTATTTTACACTATACCCTCAGCCCTAGGTTTTTGTTAGTTTGTTTTAGGGGAGGA